CCCCCCAGCTACGGGGGCCGGGGCGGACCCGCTCCCGCAATTCCCGAGCCCCGCAGCCCGGCGCGGGGCTGAGCAGGAGCGGGGGGGGCAGGGGGGCTCCCAGGGTCTGTGCCCAGCTCGGGACCGCGGCGCTATTCCCCGCCCGCCCGAGGGGGGCGCCCGGCCGCTCTGTCCCGCCCGGCGCGTCTCGCTGGTTCCGCCGCCGCCACGGGCCCAAGTCTCGTGACCGGAAGCGGAAGTCCGGGGCCGGCGGCGCGATGGCGGCGGAGGGGGACGTGGAGCTGGAGCTGGAGACGGAGCCGAACGGGGCCGGGGGCGGCGCGGACGGGGCCGGGGGGCGGCCGGCGGAGAAGCCCCGGAAACACGACAGCGGCGCCGCGGACCTGGAGCGGGTCACGGACTATGCGGAGGAGAAGGAGATTCAGAGCTCGAACCTGGAGACGGTGCGGGCGGGGGCGGGGCGTGTGGAGGGAGGGGGAGGGGCGAGCGGAGGGGGGCGGGGCGAGCGGAGGGGCGGGGCGTGTGGGTGAGAGGGGCGGGGCGTGTGGGGGCGGGGTCCAGGTGATGGGCTCGCTCGGAATAGATTCAGAAGTTGAACCCGGCGCTGGCGGAAGAAGCTGGCGGAGGTTGGGGCCATGGGCCCCCGGGCAGTCTGGGGCTCTTCCCCCCCAACCAGCAGTGGCCTGAGAGTCCAGCACTAGAGGCCGCAGCGTGTGGCTCCTGGGACTCTGGGGGAGGGGGTGTTGGGAAGATGATCAGCTTGGCCTGATAGTGTATGGTGACGTGACTGTGCTGCCTTCCTGGGCTGTGGGGAGACCCCTTCCTCTGTATGCTGGAGGTAACCTTCCCTGCTTCTTCTGCCTAGGCCATGTCGGTGATTGGAGACCGAAGATCCAGAGAGCAGAAAGCAAAACAAGAGAGGTAAGTGCTCCCTGCATCTCTTGTCCCTTTCTAGTATAGAGCTTTGAGATGCAATCTCCATGCTCTAGTCTGGGGCCAGTGCAGCCACAGATTAAACATCAGCCTTATTTGTTGTTGTAGGTTAGAATAGCTTCTTTGGAGTTGAAGCTCAGACAGTTCTGGCCCATGCCAAGCCAGGGCTTTCAGTTCCTGAGCTATTTAGTCCAGTAATAGGTGACATGGCTTTGCACATGCAGAATCTTCTTCTGGAGGCCTAGGGCAGCATTTTTCGACGTGCGGGTCGTGACCCGGTACTGGGTCGTGGCATGTAAGGCACTGGGTCGCTCTGGTTAGCACCGCTGACTGGGGCATTAAAAGTCCAGTCAGTGGTGCTGCCCAGCTACCTGTTCTGACACCACACTGCACCCCGGAAGCAGCCAACAGCAGGTCCGGCTTCCAGGCAGGGGGGCCCTGGGGCTCCGCGTGCTGCCCCCGCCTCGAGCACTGGCTCCGCACGGCCAATGGGAGCTGGGGAGTGGGTGGTGCCTGCGGGCAAGAGCCGCGTGGAGCCGCTTGTGCACCTCCACCTAGGAGCTGGACCTGCTGCTCGCCGCTTCAGGCGCAGTGCAGTCTGCGATGCCAGGACAGGCGGGAAGCTTGTCTCTGCACCCTGGCTGCGCCACTGACCGGGAGCCGTCAGAGGTAAGTCCGTGCCCCAGCCCAGAGCCCTGACCCCATCCTGCACCCCAAACCCCTCATCCCTGGCCGCAGCCCAGCCCAGAGCCCCCTCCCACACCCTGAACCCCTCATTCCTGCCCCCACCCCATAGCCCTCACCCCTGCACCCCAACCCTCTGGCCCAGCCCTAAGCCCCTCCCACACCCCAAATCCCTCATCCCCAGCTCCGCTGTGTCGTGGGCATCAACAATTTTCTTCAACTGGATCCCCAGAAAAAAAGTTTGAAAACCACTGGCCTAGGGGACCAGGGTAGTTTTTCTGGTTAAACTTCCTGCCTGTCCAAGTCCAGTCTCAGGACTGGTGGCTTTATGCTTTGGCAAGGAGTTGCTGCAAGCTTTCTGATTGTACAGGTCTGTCGCATCTTACGTGCATTTAACATGTACGATTTCAACTTTACGCGGTCAGCAAAAACAAAAAAAGAGAAAAACAACAGTTTTAATACTATACCTGTAGTGTGGGCGATTTCGCCCGCCATTGAACTCAATGGGGTTTTGGCTATATGCAGTTTTCGCTTTACGCGCTAACCGTGGAACGGAACCCCCACGTAAGATGAGACAGACCTGTACTTTACAGTTGTGACTGAGTTGGTCTGGAAAAGGGGTCTGGAGCCTGTTGTTGGTGCTTTATGTTCTGATTCCTTTTGTTACAGGGAAAAAGAACTGGCAAAAGTTACAATCAAGAAAGAAGATTTGGAACTGATTGTGAGTATGGAGGGCAGGGTGGATTTGATTTAAATCACTAGTCAGGAAGACTCGATTTAATCATGGATTTCTACATACAAGTGCATTCTTGTTGGTTGTTATAACCTTAATACATATTCTTCACAGCTCAGAGATAGATGAGACCCAAACTGGGTCTCTTTTATGGCCTGCTGCCATTATAGGTTTTCCCTTCTAGTTGAGAGAATGGTATGGTAGATCTCAAATCAATGAAGGCTATACTCAGAAAGACCTCAAGACTTCTGGAATATGCTGCTCAAACAGTTTCACTTTTGTTTCTACTGCCTGTCCCTCCCTTCTCACATTTATCGCCAGACTTCTTCTCCTTGTCCAGATCTATTCCGCCCCCAACAATCCTCTATTCATTGAACTTTTTAAAACTTTGCACTTTTAGAGAGAGATAAGGGATTGACTCTGTGTACACGAATTTGCAGAGGGACAATAGGGTTGAGGTCTGTTATTTCTCACCTCTATTTATTATTTATTTAAAAGCATTGTTGCTCTTAACAAGCATGTTAACTCTGGAGATACAAATCCACAGTTTGAGAACTGCAAAACTAAGCATCTCTGATGGTATCTTCTAGATTGAGCATAATCTATACAGAAGCCCCTGGAACTCCATAAAATGGGGTCCCTAATCCATGAACTATTGGAACTCATTTACAAAACTTTTCTTAAAGATTACATGAATATATTGTCTCATACTATAGAATTAGAATTTATAATCCCTATTCTATGCTGAGATATCTTTGAGCTATAATGGATCTTAATTAAAACTATCCTTAAAATGCTTTTGGAGGAAAAAACATATTTATCAAAAAATCTTTTTTTTTTTTAATCATTGATTTTTATCCACCCTGCTTTGCTGTATTGCACTGTAGTAAGCCAGGAACAGTAGCTGGACTCTGCAGCAGCTGCGTAACTCGTACTCAGTTGAGGCCTCAGTAATGCAGGAGTACCGAGCCTTGAGTCCAGCCCTTTTCTTGTGTGATGTCTGCTGTTGTGCAGCATCTCTTATCTATGCTCCCTTCCCTGCAGATGAATGAGATGGAGATCTCTCGGGCAGCTGCAGAGCGTAGTCTGCGAGAGCATATGGGGAACGTGGTGGAGGCTCTGATCACCCTCACCAACTAACCACATTCCAACTGGACCACTTTGTGCTTTGAGAAGGGAACGAGGGAGGAAGACTCTTGTTGGAACTTCATGTCTTTGTGCAGTCACCCCTGCCCTGTGCACTGCCTTCCCAATAACTCTTTGACAGAGTGATACTGGTCAGATGCTACATGTATTAACTTATTGAAATAAAGACATCCGTAACCTTCTGGGGACACAGTTTATAAAGCAGCTATGAATGGGCCCTGAGAAGCCTGAAAGAGTGCTACCACCCACCTGTTGTAGAAAGCTTGGACCACGGTGCTCTTTGTGTAGATGGCAGGCTACTCACACAACGGAGTCACAAGGGGCTCTGCTGTGCTAGTAATGGATACTGTGTCAGAAGTGAGAGACATTGGATTTGGCCTGTAAAGCTCACGAGGGTGGGGAGCACAGTGCTGAGGGAGCATTTTCTGCATGAAGCGTTCACTTAAACCTTCTTCAGAGAACAATGGCTGAGCTCTCAAAAGGGAGAGATGGGGTAACGTTCCCACCCCTGCTGAATGGTTCTTTGATATTAACTTTATTCCCTTCTGCCATTATATTGCTCCATCACCCCCAAGTCTGCTTCTCTCCCTGCTGTTCACAGGCTTGAGGTCTAGCTGCTATGGCCTTTCTAGTTCTTAATCAGAGCTCCACTGGCTTCAGTCTTCCCTCTGTTAAGCCTAGCAGTCTCACTTTATATTATCTTCCTGTTTTGTCAGCTCCTAAAATCACATGGTCTGAGGGCAAAGACCTTCTAAAGCTTCTATATTTACACAGTGCTAGAAGCCCGGCGGTGCTTTGCATGTAACATGTCTGGGGTTAACCGAAGGGCCGGTTCTGGCTGAATCAACCTGCCCGTGGTTTCAAGGCCTCATAGGGCCAGAACACGGGCTGCTTTATAGGGCCACAGCTCCCTACTGAAACCCAGGGGCAAGCCTGGTTGTTACAAAGCGTGAGGTAAGCAATCCTGGCAGCAGGGGCTTGTCTCTCAAAGGCAGTGTAGAGTTGAAGGGCTGGAGAGAACACTAGCTTCAACTTGTGCCCTGTTAGGGGCTGTGTGTTCCCCCGAGCGCTGAATAGCTGCTGGAGGGACAGGGCATCCCTTCAGTCTCCATCTGTGGCCAAGAATGGATCGTGGGGAATGTGTGTTTATTGCCTGCGCTGACAGCTTGGTGTGGGCTGGGGCTCTAACAGCCTAATAGTGCAAGGCTGGGGCACCGGCACAGAATACCCCCCAAGGGTGAGCAGAAACAGTGCTGGGATACACAGCTGTAGGAGGCAGGGCCCAAGGGAACTGCTGCTAAGTCACCTCCTCCCTCAAAGCCAGAATTCCATCCACCTCACAGCACAACTGTGTCCTACACCTGCACCTCCTGTGAGCTGAGGCCTGAGTTGAGTTATGCAAACCCATAGCACAGAGAGAAGGGAGAGTGCCCTGGTTCAGCCACCAGCATGCCCCTCCCACCCCCAAAGAGTGATAGCAATGCCAGTCTTGTGAGAAAACAGCTTTTAATCAAAACTCAAATCTTGTGCCTTGGGAGCCTGGAAGAGCCCCAGACCCTACGGTACAGGTAGGGGAGCCTAGAGCCAAGCAGAGGGCTAGGCGAAAGAGGCTTCAAAGCCCCTCTGAGATAGGGCAGAGGAGACTGTTACAGCTGTTCCAGAGAACAAAAGGGAACTGCCTTCCCAACTGGATATGGGGTGTTGTGCAGAGGTGGGGAGATGCTTTGGAACAGACTGTAGGAGCCTGCTGCTAATTCCAAGGGAACTGGGGGTTTGCTGCCCTCTGGCAGTGGGAATCTGGGAAGTTGTCTAGTCCCGTGGGGCGAAAGACATTCGGCGCTGGGTCTGGCTGGCCTAGCAAGGATGGACTTTTCCTCTAATTCCAATTGAGCCCGGTGGAAAGTCGGTGCAGCCCCGCCCAGGTCACCAGGCAGGGTGGTGAGAGCTCAGTGCTGGAGCACAGAATGCAACACTCAGCTCAACAAATGGAGAGTAGAAGGAATTGGCCAAAGCAGGCGCACTTTATGCCCCAACGCACTCGCAAGATTTCTGGCAGGGTTAGGACCCATGGCAGACAAGTGCCTTTCCGCCCTGCTGTCGGCAGCATGACACTGTCCTGGGTACTCCCTTAGGTAGTTTTCCGCTTCTTAGCCGATGGTCTCTCAAAGACGTCCCGCACGCCGGCTGCCTTCTGCTTGAAGAACTTGGTGTTCTGTGCACTTTCCTGACCCCAGGCAGAGTCGAAGGAGGTTGTGTCCTGATCTACCAGGTGTGTGTACTTGGTCCGCCCAGAGCGCCCAAAGTTTTTGACCTAGGGAGAAAAAAATTCTGTGAGTTGCAACCCCCCCCTGCAAGCAGGACCTACAGCACCCTCAGAGTACAAGGCACCAGTGCTCCACTGTGGACCAGGCCTCCATGTCACCCCACAGTACAGGTACCCTCTAAGGCCCTGCTAGCTGAGAACCCACCCCACCCCCATGAGCCCATCTCCAGCACACATACCTGCATGACTTTGGGCAGGATGGTCTTGTTGAAGTGATCCTCCAGCGTGGGGGCACTGAAGTCTCTCTTGTACACTTCCTCATCTTCATCCTAGGGAGGGATGGACATGCAGCAGAGTCATTTAGAGTAAACCCCCAGGGAAACCAGGTAGGGACACTCTGCACAAACAGCATAGTTCAAAGAGTCCTGGTAACATCACTCAAGTTTCCCTGCTCATGTCAGAATCACAGACATTGGAGACAAGGCTTGTGTCCCATCTAGTCCATCTCCAGGGTCTAGAACATGATTAGTCTTAACAGTCCATATTTCACAGCTTTATTCAGACCACTGGCAAATACACCAAGGAAAGAACCTCCCACCTCATTTGTTTCTTGTAGCTTTTAGGCACTTTCCAAACATACTACAACCCTCCTGCCCCAGGGAGCTGACACTAGGTTAGAGGGAAGGGTGACAGCATAAGGGGAGAGTCCTGGGCTACACAAGACAACAAAATGTAAGGGGGTGTGCAAGGGGCTCACCATTCAGATTCTAAGGTCCTTATTTCCCTCTGAATTTGTCTAGCTTCAACCTCCAGCCATTGGACCATGTTATATCTTTTGCTGCTAGCCTGAGGCGCCCATTGGTAAACATTTGTTCCCCAGGTAGGTACCTATAGACTATGATCAAGTCACCCCTTAACTGTCTCTTTGTTAAACCAGATAGACTCAAGAAGCTCAATCTATCACTATAAGGCAGTTTTTCTAATCCTGTAATCACTCTCATGGCTCTTCTCTGACCCCTCTTCAATTTATCCACAGCTCCCTTGAGGCAGGGGCTTTGTGGATGAGCTCAGGAAGGGCAGTGTGTGCAGCCAGCAGAAGCAGGGGATTGTTTATGACAAGGGCAGATGAGGCAGAAGTGACAAAACAACAGGCCACTTGATTCTGCTTCTGACAGCTGTGACAAGCTTGCCTAGGATCCAGTAAAAGAAGGGCACCAGTGGAGGGATTTGGAGGGGACAGCATGCGTAGAACAGACAAGGCAAAGGATTCTGGCACCAACACTTCGTGAGGCAGCGTGGGAAGACTGTCACTGCAGCAAGGTGGGAAGTGATGAGGGCCTCAAGGAGAGCTTGAGGTATAAGGTAGAAACTAAAAAGGACAGACTCTAGAGATGTTGTGGAGGAAACAGCAACAAGATGCGTGGGACATGGAGGAGACACAAATCAGCCCAGGTTATGGGCCTGAATGCCAGAGAAGAGGGTTGGGTTGACGACGACAGGGAAAGGGGGAGTGGAGAAGGTTTGGGCCATATGAGATCAAATAGCGATGAGACATCCAGGTAGATCTGTCAGTCATTACCAGAGATGTATTAGTGGATGCATGAGAACAACCCCAAGGAGGTCAAGTGACAATTTCACTGTCAGGAAGCTTCCTGACGTTCAGCCTACATCTCCCTTTGTTTAATGTAACCTCACCTTCAGTCAAGCCCGAATCACACCACATCCTCTTAGGGATTCACACCCCTCAAACACAGCAGACTCATCTTGCTCTCCTGACACCACACCCCCTTCAGTGGCTGTGTTGCCACTATACAGCTGTAGCCCTTGTAATCTTTCCTTTAAACCAATCCTTCCCCTGAGGCATCCAGAACAGAATGCACTGTTCCAGGTGTGGGAGCCACAGAGCAGGGCTTCACTCACCATGAAGAAGGCCCCCCGGTGGTAGTACTTCTGCAGGAATTTGTATTTGCCCTTCACTGCCTTGTTGGTGATGACCTTGCCATTAGCACGGAGCTCAGCACGACGCTCCTCCTCCGTCAGGTTCCGCATGCGCTCAATCTCAGCCTTCTCCTTCTCCAGTCTGTGCAGGAGGCACGAAGCCCGTTAGAGACAGCCCTACTCTCACCATGCCCTCTGCTCTGCCCAGAGGACAGAAAGCTTGTCCCACTCACATCCCTGGCCAGAGACTGCAGCTCTAGGAAGCAATTCAACCCACTAAATTCCAGGGGCACGCACCAAATGCCCTGTCCCTCCAGGAGCTAAGATGAGGTGCCCTCTGCTCTGCCTTAGGCTGCAGTGGCTAGACAGAGCAGGAAATGGGGAGGGGAAGATGCCCCCTGGTGGCCGCTGTCTTCTGGGTCAGGGACTAGAGACATTCAACCCCAAGCCCAGGCTGCGGCAGCACTTACGCCTCTCGCTCCTCGCGGTCCCGTTTGATGCGCTTCAGTTCACGCACTTTCCAGGACTCGTACTCCTCCTCATCATTCTCGTCGTCAGTATCGAGCGCTTCCAGCGCAGCCAGCGATCGCTTGTTCTCCTCCAGCTCCTTCTTAGTCTCCTCCTCCACAATCTGCAGAGGGGACCAAGCTGCGAACTGAGCCTGCTGCAGCAGACCAACCCTCTCCCCCAGATATGCTGCCCCACTGGACAGTCCCCCATTACCTTGAGTGTGTACTTCCGCCTCTCCTCCGCCAGCCGCTTTGCCTCCTGCTCCAATTCCTTCTGTTTCACTGCCTCTGCCTCTCGCTCCTGGACTGTAACTCGATCCTTCCTGGAACAGAGGGGCCATCACAGGCTTCTTTCCCCCTCTCACCGCACCTTACCCATCCCTCTCAAAGTCCCACCCCAGCACTGGCTATTTCACTCTTTCTGGAGTCAGTGTCTGCCCCCGGGATCCTCACCTGTCTGGTGCTGCTTTAGGCCCAGCTGCCTTAGCAGCATCCTGAGTGGCCTCTCACACCCCCAGATCTGTTGTGGGGAGAGAACCATTTCCTGTGGTACTCTGCACCTCACTGGCAATCACCCTATCACCACTGAGTGGCACCTACCCAAAAGTAACAGCTAGTACCATGAAGAGACTCTGAGCCCATCCAGCTTGTGTACACTGCAGGGTCAGACGCAACTGACAGAGCTAAAAACAACAGCTGCCTGGAATCGATCACTCCCAGACACTCAATTCCACAGACAAATGCTGCATCTTTGTGCCAAGCCAGCACCTGACCTGCAGATAGAACCTGAGGTGCTATTAGCATGTGCACCAGTTGCTTTCTGAGCTACATGATAACGGACATGAGGACGCTTCTCTGTGCACCAGCTGATCCTTTGCATTTTCCATCTAGGCTGGCACTCTGCCCTCCTTCAGGTGGGAGCAATCCCCACCCCCACAACAGCAAGGTACGCCACCTACTTGCGGATGAAGACAGGTTTGAGCCGTGGCTCCGTTTCATCCTCACTGTCTGTGTACTCCTCATACTCAGACTCGGATTCAGACTCCTCGCCAGACCTGCCTTCGTCCTCCACTTCCATCACCTCCATCTCCTCATTCTTCCTCTCCTGAGCTCGCTGGCGCATCATCCCACGACGACGCTCAATCTCCTAATTGAAGCACACACCAAACCCAAAGGGAGTCAACGGAACTGCTGACCTTCCATTCACCCCCAGGTCTCTTGCAAAGGAGTGGGGGTGGATGTTTGCCCCAGGCAGGGCCCAAGAGGGGCAGAGGCCCCAAGTCCATTCTAACTCCTTCACGCAGTGGGTGAAATGGATGGAATTTACTGGCGTTAACAGCACTGATTCCTTGTTGCACAGAGGCCACACACTGATCCACCGCTCTGCATACCTCACCATGCAAACCAAAGGGGGCTTCAGCCAATGTGCCCTCCCCACAGCAGTGAGACACCTGTCCATAAGAGCTGCCATACTGGACCAGACCAGTATCCTGTCACTGACAGTGGCCCGTCCCAGAGCTCCAGGGAGAGTGTGCAGAACAGGGCAGCTTTGGAGAGATACACCCCATCTTCCCCAACAAGTTTCTAGCAGTCAGAGATTTCGGGTCACCCTGAGCAAGGGGTTGCAGCCCTGACCATCTTGGCTAATAGCCATTGATAGACCTGTCCTCCAGGAACTTATCTCGGGGTTTTTTTTAACCCAGTTTTACTTTTGACCTTCACAACATCCCATGGCAACAAGTTCCACAGATTGCCTGTGCATTGTGTGAAAAAGTATTTCCTGTTGTATTAAATGTTCTGCCTATTAATTTAATAAGGCATTTGTGTTATGTGAAAGGGTAAATAATGCTTCTCTAATCACTTCCTCCACACCAGTCATGACTTTATAGATTTCTATCATCTCCCTCCTTAGTCATCTCTTTTCTAAGCTGAACAGCCCTAATCTCTTTAGTCTCCCCTTGATCTAGATCCTTGATCATCTTTGTTGCCCATCTAAGAACCTTTTCCAGTTGAACTATATCCTGAGATGGGCAACCAGAACTGTCCACAGTATGCATGGTGTGAGCGTACCACGGATTTATATAGTGGCATTATGATATTTTCTGTCTTATTATCCATCCTTTTCCTAATAGTCCCTAGCATTCTCTGTTACTGACCACAGCTGTGTACTGAGATGAAGTTTTCAGAGAACTGGCCACGATGACTCAAAGTTCTTGAGTGGTAACAGCTAATTTAAAGCTCATCATTATACATGTGTAGTTAGAATTATTTTTTCCAATGAGCATTACACTGTGCACTTATCAACTGTTGAATTTCTTCTGCCAGTTTGTTGCCCAATCACCCAGTTTTTTGAGGTCCCTTTGTAACTCTTTGCAGTCAACTTTGGACTTATTTATTTTGAATAATTCTGTATCATCTGAAAACTTTTTCACTTCACTGTTCATTCCTTTTTCAGATTATTAATGAATATATCGAACTGCACACAACCCAGTATTGGGGACCCCATTATTTACCTCTCTCCACTGTGAAAACTGACCATTTATTCCTACCCTTTGTTTCCTATCTTTTAATCAGTTACTGATCCATGAGAGGACCTTCCCTCTCATCCCATGTAACCCAAATGGCAAGTCGAAACCATCTGCAGACCGACTCTTAACCTCTTTCAGATTCGTCCAGGTATTAGCCAGTCCCATCTGCCCATGGATCTGGTACTGCCTTGAGCTGCAGGAGGCTGGACCCCACCCTGTGGGAACTCAGCTGAGAGAGCCTGGGGAACTGGTGCTTGCAGCATGTTTCCATGGCTCTGCACATACCTCATCGTCAATCTCTTCTTCCTCCTCCTCGCTGGTATCCTCCCGTTCCATGCGCCAGGCATCTCCCTCCACCTCCGAGTCACTTTCTCCAACTACTTCTGGCTCGACAATTTTGCGGTGCCTTGCGAGTCTATGCACAGACACCAGAGTTAATCTTTCACAGCAATTCAACTGCCATAAAGCAGTGACCATAGGCCACAGCCCATCGAAATGCTCTGGGGCTCTTCAAGCTGAAGTCCCCACACACATATCCAAGCCAGCCAGGAATTCTCAACCCATTCCAGCCCCACAATGACCCTGTCCTAACCCCACTGTTATAGCCCCAAGAATCACAGCAAAGAGGTATCTCAGCATGCCAAGCTGAACACGTGTGTTAATCTCAAATACTCAAGTAACTAAAAAATGTGGCTAGACCCACCAGTGTCCTAAATATAATCAGACTGTAGCAATCATAGCTCTTATGTATAGGCTGCTACAGTACAAACCATGGATTAGTCTCCTTGACAGTCTGAGCACCTGGGCTGCAGGCAGAGCTATAGCAGCAAAGTTTGGAAAAAGTAACATTTCTTCTCGGAAGGTTGGTTTACATGGTGCCATTTAAGATCCAGTAGCTGGATTGCTCAGGAACAGACACTTCTGTTCATCCCACTGAAGAAAATGCAGCTTCCACTGGGATCCTGCTTCTTCTTTAGCAATTATAAAGATTGAGGCAACACTAGAACTGACCCAGCTACTCCTCATAGATATGAATTACTGACTTGAGGTGAATTAAATAAACATTACTCACTGCACCTAACTGAGATAGACAGATAACATGGCATCCCCCTATCTCCATACAAGAATGTTATCCTGTTTTATAGATTTTGCTTTCCTCCCCATGTTAAGACCTTAAGGAGCTAGCTGTACTATTTATGGTCACTTTCAGAACTTGTGGACTAACTGCACTAGCCTAAATAATTCTTTAGATATGTGACAATGCGTAGGGCTGCTTTTCCTTCCTATATCTCTCTAGTTAAGATGTGGGGAATATATAAAAGGGACACTCCAAAAAGTTACACACCTGAAAAATGCATCCCTACAACTGACTCAAGCAAAGTCTAGTTTTCTCTCAACTTTTTGTTATGATAACCTTTAATTTCCATATATTTCTTCATATTTTCAGTTAGTTTACACAATGACTTGGACAGCACTCCGGCAGAGTCAGCTCCAAAGGCTAGGTTTTTCACAAAGAGAAACTGCCGAAAACATAACAAAGGTGACCGTAAAGCCACAGCTGTCAGGGTATCTCAGGGGCAGGTGGGCCTGACACTACTTGCTGTGTCTCTCTTTGACTAAGGCAGGGCTGTCATGGGCAGGAGCTCACCTCTCCTCCACATCCTCATTAATGCGGTTCTGCAAGCGCCGCAGACGGGGGTCACTAGCTGAATCTTCCTCCTGCTCCTCTAGCTCCAACTCCTGCTCCTTCGCCTTCTTAATGAACTGGAACTCCTCATCCTCCTCGTCCGAGGACTCCATGGGCGCATAGTCTGGCCGCTTCCCCGACACATAGCGCTTCACCTTCACCTTCTCCATGGAGATCTCACCTGCAAGGAGAGAAGGGGATGGGTTACTACAGACCTGAAC